TGGCTGAACAACGATATTTTTCCCCATCCAGGTGCCTGTTTCATATTTACTTAGCAATACTGCTCTGGAATTCACAGACATACATAAATAAGGTTCAAGAGACAGAAGAAAACATTCTCTAGGCAGACCCCAGACTAGAAACCCCAGCAGAGGGTCTCAGTTCTCACCTGTGCAAATGCATAACCTCCCCAAGGTGGAATTCCATCCCCAGTCTGAATCATGCTATCCAACCCCCAAATTACCATTGTAAACAAATGAGGTTTCCAATCTAAATAAGGTAGGTACTTAAGTACAGCAGGATCGCCCAGGACTTAGGGAAGGGACTTGGGAAAGTCTGAATAAGGTGCATCACAGGGAGTGTCAGAGATCTTTTTTCGTTTGTTTATTCTGTCACCTTCCATTTCACGATCTCCCGTTGAAAGGAGGTAATGATCCTTTCAACCTGTAAGGCAGTTTCTTCTAAGGAGCTGAAGACACACTTTATTTCACTTCTTCTTGGAATTCAAATAGTGTTAACGCCTATGAATAAACAGATACACTGTTGATGGACGGGGTTCTACTTAACCTAAACCAGGTAATGTCATCGACAGCATGCCATTCAGTTTTACTGTGGTTGCTTTATCCGTGTGCTCAGAGGTTTTCCCATGAGAATATGCCAAGGTAGAAAGCTCAAATGTCATTTAGCAAAGCCCGGCGTGGCTGCTCTTCAGGGGACAAAACTTGGCCACTCAGATCTCTTCCAAGGTAGACAAAATGCCATCGAACATTGGCAGTCTTTTATTTTCCTTCCTTCCAGAGATGAAAACATGACATCACTACCCAAATTGACTCGGACCTCCCACCTCCTGGGGTTGCCTGGGACGCAGGCTGAATCAAAGCATCTTTCCATCAAGGTGAACAACGGTAAGGGGCAGAGCCATAACTCAATTGCTTCAGAAGACATTCAGTGCAGGATATAGTTTTGCTTTTGGCAATGCTTTGGAACATTACAGTTATGATCCTTTAGAAAAAAATACATTTTTGTTTATTTCCTCATCGAAATTTGGTCTGTGATATTTCAATCCTTAATCATGTCTGCTTTTTTTTATCATTTCAATTGGTCATGAAAAGTTCTGTCAACCATTAATAGTAAATAAATCCCAAGGTGCCCAGATTTCCTAGTGTCATTAGGGTACATCACAATGTATGTGATATTTCAGACTTCATATGAAGTTAATGACCACAGACATCTCGATAGAGGACCCTTTCAAACCACCCCCCGGAAAAATTGTCTCTTTTGGAGGTTTGAACTCAGAAAAAGTTAGCACCTCTTGTTGCATTGAATGAGTTGTTAATAAATCTGCAATACAGAAAAATATCTGGGGAATGAGAGGAAAGAAAGGTGGGGTGAGTGCCAGCCTCTGAGGTTGGAATCTGGTGTACAGCATGCATGTGGAGTTAGCCCACACTGTCATAATCCATCTTAAGGGCTCAAAAATAAATAAATACACCTGAGAGAATCTGTCTAACAAATACCTCTCAAATTAAGAATTTTTGCACAATAGATCATATCAGCTTTGGAGGTTGGGTCTACATGGTACCATAATCGCTAACTATAAAGTGAACATTTTAGAAAGGCTTCTCGATGTTGGAGCTACGCCATGTTAAATATATAGAAATTGAGAGTTACCATATTGCCTGAGGCCAGCGGTGCCCATTACCACAATATTCTACTTGGTAAAGGTGCGTCTCTCCTAGCTGACCACATCGCCACAACCTGGTGAGGCGCTCCCCTCCCAGGGCGACCACTGGAGACACCCCGGCCACACTCACTTTCTTCATTTGCCCAACTCCAAGGAATTCTCTCTGACCTTGGGGTTGAAATATCAAGCTGAACCTCTTGGAATTTATCATCAGCCTGGCATCCGTGCTCAGCAGTAGAGCCTCTGAATTCAAAACAGGACTGTTTCCTGGCTCAGAACTCCAGCTCCAAATTCCTTAGGCTCAAAACTGATGGGAAAACAGATCTTCAGCATTCTTCTGATTTAGAAATCATTCAAACTGACAACAGATAAGAAATTGACAAGGAGATGAGAAACCCCTCATTTACATAGCTGTCTCTTTTTTCCTTCTACATAGTAAAGAACAGAGCATCCTTAACCTTGATTTTCTCACTTCTCTCAGTTTAAAGCACAGCCCGTAACATTAATTAAAGTGTGCGTGTGAGCTGGAGGGTACAAGTTATATTTCATATGCTGTACCACATGGCATTCTAGGAGAGCTGTACAATTTTTAGGTGTGCTTTTTTTCCCAGCTTGCTATGTATGCAGTCCTGCACACTATTCAGCATAGTCTCACCTAGACTTCACGCAGAAACTCCACAATTACAACCTAAAAAGGAACGCAGAGGATAGAACAGATGCTGAGGGCACTGGTGGCTTAAGCATTTAGGTAGATGGAGGTAAGTTTCTGCCTGGAGAATGCTGGTGCTGGAAAGGGCATCTAAGATTATCTGGTACAATCCTTTTACGTCACAGGTAAGGCCTGCAGAAGGTGGGTCCAACAACTAGTAAGGGGTAACCCCAAGTATTTCTTATGATTCTAAGTTTTCTACTACACCAGGGCCATATCTCTTTGAGATACAAATATGTTAGGTCTT